CCGAGTTCGAGTCCCGGTAGCTCCGTTAATTTTTCTCTGCGCTTACATAAATATTCATAAACATTGAATATAATAACTTTTAATTGATATAATGCAAAATTATTTCATCTTACGGCACAAACGGTAATATGATAAAATAACGATAGTAATAATATGAACAATGTAGCTAATAAACGTATCAGTTTGAAGAGGCGTTGCAGACACCCAACGAAATAATTTCCAATGCTGCATATAAATCTTCCAGGCATTTAATGGCACTTGGTTCCACAGCTGCGCGGCTTTCGTTTCATTTCAATCGCGATGCATCCCTCATCGGTATCACGAGACGCTGTTACCGTTCAGCTTCTTTCTTTCACGCCCTCTCGCTTCCATGTCGCGCTTCGCCCTCGTTCCTCATCCTTCTCGATAGCTGGCCAACTTCCCGCTGAAATCCGCGCCTCTCTCCCTTTAATCTCCAGCTGTACTCGAGAGGTAGTTTGCACGTGGTAGCACGAGATGGCTATCAATATCAATTCGACGCTCGCGTTCGAGGCTGCTTTGTAATCTTCCGACCGCCGATGTAGCTACCTCATCCCAAAAAGGGACCAGCCATCAGATTCCTTTCTCCTCCCGCTCTTTCCCCAATCGTCTCTCGTGCCAGTTTCGTGCGCGTGCTGCGGTCGCAAATGCTTTTGGGACTTATCTGCGAATCGCAACTGCCAGTCAAAAATAATTTCAGATTTGGAAATAAAATTCGATGCTCACAAAATAATTATTCGCATTAATCCGAGCTTTTAAGTTTCCATTTAAATTTAAATTTAAATTTACTGACTAACTTCACTCTCCGAAAGTTTTCTAATATCCGACTGAAAATTCCAACTCATTTTCTTCCCCTGGAAATCGATATTCCCAGGCAGTTTAATCGAGACGCGATATATCTGAGAGCTCTGCAGCTTGTTATATCCTCAGATCAAACAGCTAATAATTTTTACGCCGTGGATTCTAAAGGAGATCCGGAGCTTGGCGGAGCACGAAACGGCGAACGACTTATGTTGGAGCATGGAGCCTCGCCTTTGTGCGCGCCAAACCAAAAGGCTCGCTCGCTCGCCAACGTGCCAATATTCATAAACACGTCCGACAGCCTGCGATATCTTACTCAACGGTGGCCTTTCTCGCTCTCGCGCGATGACGTAAAGCGGCCGCGAGAGGAAAATCCCGCTCACCGGCCGGGCCCCCACGGGCGCGTGAGGAATTGTTTGTTTCTTCGACGACCGCGTCGAATTCGGATCACGCTGCGGGTTTTCGGGCTTTATGCGCGCCCGTGGGTGGTGATAAAGATGCATGCGGAGCGATCGGCGAGATCGGTAGCGGACAAACGCGGCCCGGTGCCAGCGCGGGTTCAAGTCGTCGGGCTCTTATTCGCGTGAGAGAAACGTTTCCCGTGAGTTTACGGGGATTATTTTCGGAATACGTTGAATGGACAGCATTTCGGTATAAAAAGAATCGTGTTTATCTCCGTCGAGACGCGGACAAAGGCCAGTAAAGTTCTCTCTAGAGAAACTAATGCGATTCTATTTTACGCCACGAAAAATAATCTGTCAGATATATGTTCAGATGTCACTGGCGAAGAAGTTAGAAAATACCTCAAAGACATCGAGCCACCAGAAATCGGAGTCGCAGGACGCTATTCTGTATTCCTTTTTACGACTCTTATGTAAGATCATATTTGCGTCAAGTGACAGGCAAGTGCTACTCTATTTTGAAGTCAAAAATACTCTCTAAATCTCATAGACTTTCGCTACTAATATACATATATTAGAGTGATTGCGATAGTCACTCCAAAAGAGAGGGTTATCACTCTAATTTGAGTAAATGCGGGTAGGAGTTTTTAGTGAATCACGATTCACTAAAGATCGACTGATGAATAATGACAGAGTGAAATTTTTCACTCAAAATTTTAGAGTGAATTCACTCCTATGGACATTGATCTATTGCACTCGAAAAGAGTGTCCTTTCACTCAAAATGGAGTGCGATTTCACTCCAACTTATAGAGAGCAATTTTACTCTTCCTTAGAGTGGCGAATCGGTCGAAGTGCGCAGGTTCAATTTTCACTTTTCGCTTGCATTTCACTCGTTTTGAGCGATACTTCACTCTTCGACTTTTAGAGAGTAACTCAGTTATTAAAATATGCGTTTAAAAATATTTAATATATTTTATGTTAATATTATGATTACATATGGAAGATGCGTTTAGATTTGACACAATAAAATGTTTCGTACGCGAAATAACTTTTCGCTACGAGCGTTTATGACGCTATATGAAAAGTCATTTCGACCTGCGCGTGTCACGGTTAAAAAAAAAGAACATTCTCTCGGCCACAGTGAATGATTCACCGGGAATATTATACTACGACAATAAACGTAGGCGTCCACTTCGTAAAGCAGACTCGCGCCGCTCCGTTCACGCAACTCGTACGTTCTGCGCGCTGTCTCGGTCTCCATCTCTCTTTATCTTTATTTTCCTTATCCCGATGACCACCTTGCAACATGGTGGAAGAACAGCGGGCCTACTGCGAGGCGGGGCGGGAGGAGACAGGGAAGCGAGAAGAGATACGGTGGAGCTTCCGTGGATTCACCTTGCCAAACGTACGACCCGTTTCAGGCCGGTAAATCCCTCGATTCCCGGGGTCCCGCATTCGTTGCCTTATTTTCTCCCGCTCCCGTTGGACCCCATATGTTGCAGAAAATTCATCGCTCTTATACAGAATTATATTCCCTGCATTCTTTCTAGAACTCTCTGGAGGTTGTGCGGCGGACAAGACCGTGAGATACGTCCGTGAAATTTTCTGTTACCCTCGTCACTATTCTAAACGCAAAGATAGCTGCATATTTTACAAAAAATAAATTGATTAATAATTTTAAAGCGCATTTTACAGATGATATTCACCCGCGGCTAATGTTTACGAAAATTATTATAAATAACACAAAGTATTTAATATTTAATGAGACGTTACTGTAGCCAACGTGTCTCATTTTACAACAATACAAAACACGAGGGGATTGGTTTAAAACGACGTAATTAATTAGCAGCGTGCAGGCATCGTTAGCAAATAATTCCCTGCCCGTTTGTACGCGCTCCGCGAGCCTATACGGATACCTACCCGCGTATATCGACTATATCGCTCATAACCGACCGCGAAGAGCGCGAAACGCTAACCGGTTGCGGGACACCGGTGGTCGGTACCGTGGCGCGTACCGTAAACGTCACGAGCGGCCAGCAGTTCTTTGATATCGCTGAAGCGTGAGGACGTTTTGGCAGACAGACGGATGGACGGACGAGCCGACGAGGGGTCTGGTTATGATTGTGATATTACAGTTGGTTCGTAGGCTCTCGGAATGTGTAGCCTCTCCCTTTCTCTCTCTCTCTCTCTCTCTCTCTCTCTCTCTCTCTCTCTCTCTTTCGCTCTTCTCTTCTCTTCTCTCCTCTCCTCTCGCTCGCTCTCCGTTTCACTCCCTTCCGCCTATGTGCATTCTACGTGGATGCATGCCTGCCCATCAGGCCGCGCAACGTAGAGCTAATCAAACGGGCCAACCCGTTGTGCGAATATTAATTAAACTCTCCGTTACGCCTGAATAGCGTGCACAGAGGGTCGCGGGGGAAAGGAAAGAGGGCGAAAGGTAGCGAGGACGTGCATGTTACGCTTTCGCGCGCCCGCGAGGGTTACACCTGCGAACGATGACTCCGTTTAAGGTGATTGGGCCATGTACCATATGAGTCAATATAAGGGCTAAATTTTATTTTAAGAAAAACCATTTTTATGGATATATTTTAGACACTTGTATAATTACTGGTTTTATAATGTAACTTTTCATTCAATTACGTATCAATTTATCTACTGATAAATGTAAACAGTTCAAGATTTGACTTCAGTTGACATTCGTACAAGAGAAATGTCGCGACATTGCATCTCTTCGCTGTAGGCAGCTATCATGCCAGTGCCATGTGTTTGAGTGAGGTTATGTATTGTGTTTATGTTAAAAAATAATGGAAGGTAACAAACAATTTCGATAACGGGAGATTTGCTTGCAAAAGAATAGTGCTGTGGAAAGAAAACACTACACGGCGCGGCGTTGCTACATGTTCACGTCGCGTACAGCTGATCGAAAGGCCGACAAGAAACGCGACAATTCATCAACTTTTGATTGAATTTTTGGCCTTATTACACGTCAACGTCGTTTTGTCTTATACTTAACAAGTGCTAGAAGAATCAAATAATGTTATTTTCAGTTTTTTGAACTTGTTTCTTTACAGACAGTGAGTGAAATTCTCGAAAAATGTATGTTTTCGGTACAATTTCCCATAAAACCTATGTTAAAAATGCCAACTTTGAGATTTAATATCTCAAAAACTAGACGTCAGATCTTCTCAAAATTGCAAATTTAAGCGTATTTAGGTTTTTTTTTATAACATATATTTAATTCAGATTTTTTTCTTTAACATGCTCTGATGGCCCAATCACCTTAAAGAATCATCGAGCGGCGAATCTCCTTCCCAGCATCGAAATGCTAGAATTTTTCTGGGTCTAGAGGTCTTCCAAATATTTTCCTACTCTATAAATCTCATAAAGTAGTTTCGCTACTAATATATTAGAGTGATTGCGATAGTTACTCCAAAAAGAGAGTTTGGCGGTCAAGGTCAAAGTAATCCGAGCTGTGTAAGTTATTGTAAACTTTTACCATATTTTTTAATCAACTATAAAAAAAGATAAAAATCAGAATTGAATTCTTTCACTTGGCAATCCTATTCCTTTTGATTGATAGAACAATAGTACATGTAGACTACAATTTAGAAATTTGCGTTAAAAGAGGGTTTTTCTATCTGTCTCGCAATATTCGTGCAAATTTTTTTCTCAGGAGAGAAGATTACTTAGCGTTTCCGTTGGCTTCGTAAATAACCGCGAGGTATTGTTAAGGAGGCAGGGCGCTTTGTGGAATCCGCGGTCGTTTTACTCGCGCGGGCAATAAGCGTAACTCAAGATACCGCCTTTTTCCGCCACGCGCAATATCGGATAATTAAATCGAGTGTGTCCGCACGATAAAACGATACACCGCGCCGTGGCGAGCAACGAGGAACAAGTCGCGCGGAAGATAAGACCGCGACCGTGAATTTAACTCCGTTATCGGGATAGCAACTTGTTGAGGTATTGTTAAAGCATCCGCGCGCCCAGATGCAGCTCTCTCTCGAGACGCGCGCGCGCGCGTGAGAGAGAGAGAGAGAGAGAGAGAGAGAGAGAGAGAGAGAGAGAGAGTATTCGCGTCGCGCTTATCACACGTATGCCTCGTGTAAAGAATCTCGGATAATTGATGGAATCTTTTACGTCCACCCGTTAATGCCGGCCACTTTAACGGGCCGAATACGTTCGCGCGGTTAATTCAGATTCGAGATTTTAACTCCGCGGAACGGCGGAGGATTTCAGGAGAAAGAATTTCGCTTGTACCAAGCGTACACCATATATTTGAGGAATGATATCGCAGCGCCTCGCTAATTTCCAATTTAGATCTCTTACAGCAATCGCCGCGATTCTGACGTTTGTCTCGCCCTCAAAGCGTGCCACTGCGAATGTCGTTCATTAGCATCTGCTGCCTCGTGCAACGATATCGTACCGAAGCGCGAGAAACGACGAGAGAGAGAGTGTCGCTCTCCGACTTCCTATTCTCACGGGGCGAGAGATGGGGACGCGAGGGCATGTCGCTCGGCGACATTCACGCTTGCCCGCGAAGCGAGGGAGAGGACGAGTCCCGCGGTATACTTATATAGACGTCAGTCAGATTTCCGACGCTGTAAACGGCTGTATATGGCTCGTTGTAAAGGCGGCCCCTTTGATACCACGAGGCCCATAATGCGCCGATACATACGTAGGGCCTCGGTCGTAAATACCGCTAGTCTCTCTACCTCTTTCTCTATCCTCCCTCACCGTGTTCCTTCACCCTGTCTTTCCTCCTTTTTTTCTCTGTCTCTCCACCCCGTTGTCTCTTTCTTTCCTTTTTACATTAATTTGATTTTGTCTCCTCGATGTCACGCAAAACGCCGTCGGTCGCCCTAAATCCCGCGCGCCGCGATTGACCGTTTAATTACGTGTCCATAAAACGGGAGGAGGAAGCGACTTTTCGGCGTTTCATCCCTTTACGCCGCGTACTTCTACTACCTCTCTCTTCCTTTCTTCGTCGTTCAAATCCTCGTCGCCGTTGTCCTCGCGAACCGGTCCGAATTTTGCCGGATGCGGCACACCTGGATGCGGCGAGATCGCCTCGATAAGACGCGTGCGCGGGAATCATTTGCGATTTTTGTCATCAGGTCCCCTCTTTCTTACGCTAAGTTATACCGACGTATTAAATTATTAAAGTACATGGGATCGAGAGATTCATCTACGTATTAGTTCGCAGAAATCTTTAACTGGAGCAAGATTTTATCTCATGATATGACAAATCGATCAACTGTGATCAAATATAATTGTATTTATATTATTTCGCGTTAATATTATTTTTTGCATTTGTATATTGATAGTCCAGTTTAACAAATCAGAAAATTTATCAAGAGACACGGTAGTGTCTCGCGCCAAGTACGCGCGAAGCGAGACGCACCGTGACTCTTTTACGCGAACGCATGAGTCGCGAGTATCCGAGATTTTGAGATCTCAATAACGAGTGAACGGATCAATTTCT